TATATATATGTTTCTGTATATACTTTGTTTTGTTTCTCGTTTGGCTTTTTGGCTTTTGAGCCGAAACTAATTTATTTCCTGTATTGATTTTGCGCTCAGTCGAGTTGGCGTCCAAAATTTATGCATAACTTTGTCGTCGTCGCCGTCGTCGTCGTCGTCGCTGTCGCTGTCGTTGTCGCTTTTGTTGCTTTGATATCAGACACTTTGATTACACGCCTCAACTGTGCGTTCCTCAAGGATAGTGGCCGGGCAGGATGCCTGATGCCTGCCGTCTGCCGTCTGCTGTCTACTATCTTCTGTCTCTGCCATGGTGGCTGTGCGGTTGTCGGTGTGGGTGCATGTTTTTCGCATTTTTTGCGCTTCACTTGCTATCGACAGCAGCTCGTGGCGTTAAGTACTCGCACAATTTCCATAGCACCAGACAAATAGGCGCACAATCCATTTGGATAACTAAAACCGCTCCTTGACCAAAGCTGACCCTGCAATAAGCTAAAAAATAGAAACACACACACACCCACACACACACACAAAACAAAAGAAACTAAATTGAAAGTCAAGTGAAGGCTAAATGTGTCCACATTATGGCTATAGGTATATACATACAWACATACATATATACAGTGAAGGAAAAAAGTCAACATACACCACCCATTTTTCGATATTTGTATATATTTATTTGTATTGCTTCATGTTTTAATAAAAAATGTTTTTTGAAGTAAATAATTATGATAATAGCAAAGTGCAAAGTTTTTGAAAGTTTCTGTTGGTTTAAGTAAACTATAGAGGAAAGTTGATACCAAGCACATTAAAGTTCACAGATTATTAACGGCTTTAGGGCAGTCAGCTTAGTTGGCCTAAATGGCTTAGCGAATGCAGCTATTAAATAACAAATGCTTCTAGTATATTCCAGATTTATATTTTCTTAATGCAAGAGCTTTACTTATGTTTATTTAAATCTTCAATTACTTAAATTTACTTTGTTGTAGTAAGTGGGAACAGTTGAAATTAATACTATAGCTAAAGCACTAGCTGTTAAGGACTTAGGCTTGGTAGAGTATTATAATATTAATATTAATA